ACCACATCCGCACCTTACATTTATCAGTTTCCTGGCACTATATTCATGTGTCTCAGAATAGTGGTTCTAATTTCTGTACCACTTATATCTAATACAGAGCCTGAAACATACAAATTTCTCATTATTTACAAAGTGAATTAAAAACTGAAAGAATGAACAAGTGAAACAATCAAAAGGAGAAAGTCTAAAGGGGGCGAGGGTTTGTTGTGGTCTTCTTTTCCTTCTGTTGAAGAGGAAGTTGCTCAGATAATTACAGTTGTTCCACTTAACGAGATCAAATCCTTTTCCTAAAAGAGAGCACACATTTGAACCTTGCTGGTGGCTCTTTAAAGCCACAGTTATCATCACTGCCATAGCAGTGTTACCAGATCACTTTGCCCCATCTCCATCCTGGTCATAAAGTTACAGATACTGATTTCACCACCTCTGCCCCAAGGACCGTGGCTCCTATCACAGTATTGATTAAAAACGAAGGACAACTCCACATTGGCACTCAGGAAACAATACCTTCAAAGGCCCTGGCTTCCCCACGGGTGGCCCTGAGAAACCAGGTTACCACCTGTAAGCAGCACAAGATGTGCACCAACCAATAAAAGGCAGAAGAGAAAATCAGGAGACTTTCTCAGGAATTTTCTCAGGAAAATAAGGACAACCCCTAGACTTCTCTGCCTCTTTCTTCCTATGCCTGTCCTGAGATGTGGTAGTGGATAGCAGCCTGACTGCATTTATCTCCTGATAATGAATATACTCCTTCATATTCCTCCCCCACTCCTGTGTGGGATCTTTGGAATTGCATTTTCAAATAAAGGTGTTAGCAGGTAAGAGTTTGTTTCTAGAAAACTTGGGCTAGCCAAATACAACATGTGATCAAAACATATACAGTATATTTAAATTTTAAAATTTATTATAGTAAAAGACACATTGCCATTAATGCTCCTCCAAATACTCTCCCTCACTTTGAGCATATTAATCCCTCCCCTTTCACTTTCTAAAGCAGTTCTTGAAGTCCTCTTTTGATCACCAGGAATGATTAAGAACGTGGTGAATGTTACTGCCAAGTGCATCCAACAGAAAAGCAGGCTTTAAAATATCACTGTGTGTCCTCACTCACCTTGATCACTAGATCCAGCACCTGAGAGTTTTCTTCCCCACAGTCAAAACGATAATGAAAGATAAATGTTTGGAATCATTTCAGGACACCGAGGCAGCTACAACAGCACAAATAATGAAATTTATGAAAAAAGAACTTCTAGAACTGCTCCAGAAAGTGGTATACAATGTGATGTCTTTTTAAAGTGAGAAGGAATATTTTGGAGTGGGATTAGTGGCAATATGTCTTTTACTGTAATAAACCTTTTTAAATTTAAATGTTCAATAATATTTTGATCATCACTTGTAATTACTAGGAAATATTCAGATGTGAAATCTAATACTGTTAGAAATTCAAACAAAATTAATTAGAATACTTTAAATGAGTATGTTCACTTATTTGCTCCAGGCCATAGTAGATCCTGGAGGAAATAGGAGCTGTATGGAAGAGGCACTGAAACAGAAGGAAGAGGATAAGACATGGAAAACAAATAGTCAAGCAACAGTCAAAGAAATAGTATTCTCATTTTGGAGCCTCAACAAGGGATAATCAGAAACACATGGCTCTGGTGAGCATACATGCTTTCCTCAAATAGAACCTCTCCATTACAGGAGCATAAACTAAGGAGATTTTCTTCCATTATATCTGTTTACAATTTCCTGTGTTATGTAATGTTTTAAGGTGTTAAGATTCTATGAAGATAGATAAATCTACTGACTGGCCTACTTCAGTGAAGACAGCACAACTATATTAATGTATTAAATTGAAAGAACTTTAAGGCTCAGTAGATTACCAGACAATATTCCAACATCCTATGTTAAGAGAAATCCAGAAGAAATGACAAGAGTACATCTGCTTAGCAAAAACCTTTGGAATGCACAAATGGAAAAATGAATTAAAATCTGGCCACAAAGAAAGAGAATATTTTCTTACTATGGAAAGTTGGCAGATTCCAACACTGTGATCTCAATTCGTACTGAAAATAATTTTAGACATTGAATCAGATCCCAGTGGTAAAGGTGTTGAGGGCAGTTACTCACCCTCAAATATTTGCTACTACCTACTCGGTTAGTAAAGTGTAAAGGGCCTTTTCTTAGAAGAAACTCCAACCAAAAAGACTGGAAAATATTTATTCATCAATGAATGAAAACTATGACTTAAGAAATACTCTAAGTGTATTCTGGCTTCTGAATGTTTGTCATCACAGACATCACTACATTTACTGAAACGCTTTTTTAAAATGTACTCATCTGGAGTCTTTCTCTTTCCATTTTAGATTTATAAATCCAGACCCAGTTTACACATCATGAAAAGCCAATGCCTACACATTTAAATGTACTGGTTGTTAAACACTCTTGGTGATTTTGAACATGTTTTTAATTCCAAATATATGATCAAAATCAATGATTTTTTCCTAGAGAGCTGCATACACACACATACACACAGTATTTTGCATAAAATTTCTGAGGTTTTGTAGAAATTTTGTACATTCAAATATATTCTTAAATGTAGAAAGTATAGGTAAAAACCAACTGTTTTAAATAATGTTTAAAAATACTTAAAGACAAATAAAATCAACTAACGAAAACCCTTAATAGTGCAAATATTTTGGCTTTCCAATAAAAGGAATAATAAAATTCAAAAAATTTGGACACAAACAATACTACATCTATAATATACCTATAATATAACTATACCTATAATATACTTATACCTATACCTATAATATAACTATATAATAAGGTATATAATACTATACCTATAATAACTCAAGGTCTTCAGGAAATTCCATATAATATCTCATTAGTTTTTTAAAATGAACTTCTTAAGTAGTTGTTTTTGAGAATGATCTAAATATTGATCACAGTATGACAAGATACATGTTGATTCTTTCTTCATTTTAGATACGTGAAAATTCTTTTCAAACTGATTCATTTTTGGAACATATATAAGAAGTGAAATTTATTTTTTATCTATTTTTAACTGAAGTCTGCATTATACTTTCCTTCTTCTCTCAAACAAAAATTAGCTCTATTCTAGTGGCACACGTCACAAATGGCCCAGTATTCATATCTGCTAGGCTTCTGAACTATAATTTTGGACTTCAAATCTTGCTTATGTTTGGAATATTTAAGCACATGAATCATCTGGAAACCAACATCATCATGTGTTTGCATTTTTTTGGTGAAGAAAATTCTAGAGTGGACATCGTTTCAGATTGTTTAGAAGTAGCAGGAGATCCAAAATTTAAATGGGATTTTGTTGCCAAACTTCAAACAGCAGCTTACATATTCCTAAATCACAAATAAAGCAGGTATCATCAAAAGTCAAGGAAAAGGATAACAGAAGACTAAGTTAGTAAGTAGATCCTCCTCATCTAAGATTCAAGGACTTTAATATATAACTACTCTAACCATTTTTAAACAAATTATATTTATTAATGGTAAAAAGTAAAAAAAGTAACTTTGATGAATCATAAATTCGATGTTTTCAAGAAAAAAATGCAAATAAAAGTAATGTTAGGATAAATGAACCAAAAATACTCTTTATTAAATTATTTTATAGCATTTAAAACTTTATTTGTAAATCAGCTGAAGTTACTTATAAAGATTTTTCCACTTATATTGTCTCCTATTCTTTGCTATACTTCTTGGTCAATATATTCAGTAACATTATTGCTGACCAATGACACCCATTTAAAAGTTTCCAAATTTTCTTCATTTTAATCTAATACAATTCTGCATTTCAACAATTTCTTTCAGTTGTGATTTCACAAATTATTCTGAAAGCATTGGATTTGGTTTTATTTAGAGCAACATCCTTGTGGTAAGAATCATAAAGCTTGATTTCTGTTCCTCTGTAATGTACTTTGTCTTACAGCTAGCCATGTACACTACCTAAACATATTGAGTCATTCATTCCATTTGGAAACTGATGGCAATTGTATATCTATAGTGCCATATCTACTGTGCCTATTATGAGTCTGAAATGAGATAAAAAAAAGAGTTTTTAAATCAAAATAGCAGTGGCACTGGAGAGGTTGGTAATGACGGTAGCAGTAATGCTGGTATCCAAGACGAAATTCTATACAAACAGTACAAGATGGAACCAAATCCGCAGTAGAGATGTATTACTTACAGCTTTCTAAGTTACCTTGCTATTGTAACACAGAATTTGGTAACTGTGCCACCATTTTTATACAGTGTTTTCTTCTTTTACACTGGACTATTATATACGTTATCATTTTACTGAAAGACTAAACAAAGTGGTATATTAAAATAGAAATTTCATGTTTCCCTGACTTGTGTTTTCTCCGATGCTTGACAAGTAAGACTAGTACAGTTCTCCTGAATAGCATACGTATGGGATAATCTCAATTTCCTTAACTTTATGAATGATAAAACATAGCATGCCTATTTTTGAAACCCTTTAAATGCTTCAAAAATCAGAAATAAATGTATTGCTTTAGAATGCATCCATCAATTAAGAATAGAGTTATCCAACTATAAAATGGAATTTTAGATATTTTTGAGTCTGGAATGGTCTGAGCAGTCATATTACCTTGAGGAAAGACATTCACTGTTTATCAAATTTTGGAAACTTTGATTTGTCTCTTAGATTCTTCAATACTTTAGAAGGACTCATCCTTTTTCAAATTATGTATTGCATTCCACTGAAAGGAAGTGAAGCTATCAAAGATAAAATAAAGACTAGACATTTCTGGAAGTAGATGTAAGAAGCTGAAGCTTATATAACATGTTTCTCTGTCATCAGGTCACTCTCTGGGCTGTTTATCCTCTGGATCCCTTTCAGACCTCATGGAAGTTAATTTTAGTTCACAGAAAGGACGGACGGCAAGACAGATTGCTGTCTTTGCAGAAACTGTCTCAGGAAAGCTTTAGAGTCTTACCTTTCTGATTTCCTGTGCATTTCCGGAGAAAAGGAAGCACTGCCTGTCCCGCGCGTATCCGTCCTTGCATCTGTCCGCCTGGGTATCATAGCTGGCTGTGGCGGGGGGAGCCCCAGGGACAGTGGCCACGAGCTTCCTCCTGCCTCGGAAGGTCAGAGTCTGGTAGAAGAGACAGATGGCCACCACCAAGCCCACCAAGAAGGGCCGGGCACACAGTCGCCGACGACAAAGGAGCACTGGGCGACAGAGCATGACCAGTTCAGCTTCACTTGGCCCCTGTCCACGTTCCTGGAAAAATCATAGCAGCTATTTTTTTGTCTGCATGAAAAATCCAAATCTGTCTTCTTTTTCCACAACTCCAGTCAAGCTTGCTCCATCTCCACTTAAGAATTTTCCAAAGGGTCATGCCAGCGGATCAGAGGTGGTTAATGAGAGCCCTTCCATCAATGACAGTAAGAAGTAGTTGACCTGGGTTTAAAAAAAAAAAAAAAAAAAGACAACAAAATGATAATAATTATAACTCGTCATCTGAGGGCCTTCCAGACTGCCTAACTGCTGGTCCGGAAATGCCTTATTTTCACAACATCCTTAAGCTCACAGTAAAGGAGTTCAGCTTCGTCTCAGCTTTAAAGGGGAAAGAGAAAAACAACACCAAAGTAAATCTGGAGTCCGAAAACAGCCCTGGAGAATGCAATAGGTTAAAACCCAAAGTGCCTGTTGCACAGCTGGATTCAGGCCAGTCTGCCCGAGCAGTCCCTCGGTTTTTTCCTCCAGTATTTTTTTAAAGCAGTCCTGTTCTCAGCCCTTTTATGTTTTGCTAACTGCTTCCCTTCATTCAGTTTTAAATAGCCACTTTGCAGTAAGCATTCACGGCTTTCAACATAAAAAGGGAACAAGCGGTTTCAGTGGACATGGTTACTGTCAGGGTTTTGCTTGTACTGATTTCATTCCGTCTCAAGTTCAAAGTTCTGTGTACTTACTCAGTTTTCATCCTTTTGGCCAGAAAAAAGTTTCCATGATCCCTTAATGGGTTGCTGATCAAAACCACTAGGAAGGAAACCCCCAGTCGTGTGGCTCCGATTCATCTCACACTCGGGGACACGCGCGCGCTGCCGGCTGCCCCGCCTGCGGCGCCCCCTCGGGAGCGGGGGGACCGCGGCACCGCGGCTGGCCGGGCCGGGCCGGGCGGAGCGGGAGGGGCGGGGCAAGGCTGGGCGAGCAGCCCGGGAGCGGCCGCACGCCGCCGACCGCAGCCGAGACTCCCCCTGACAGCCACTGCCTCCCCGGAGCTGCGGGTGCAGCAGCGTGTTTCCTGACGCCTGAGGCCTTAGGTCTTGGTTTTTCTCGCCTGAAGCAGCAATCGGAACACAATTAGCTCTTAGTCAATGGATGCCAAAGATCTACCCGGAGACCGGCTCAGACTCCGCGGGTTTAACGTGGGTTCTTCGCTCGAGGGAATTGCGGTTACGCTTAGGAGACCAAGGGGGTCACAGGCACAGTCTGGACCGCAGCACAGAAAACTCTGGTAGGCACAATAACACCAAGTCTTTAAAGTCCACCTGAACTCAGGCCTGGGTTCTCCAAAGGCCAATCCCCTGGCATTTTGGTTCTAACGTGAGTTTTTACCATGGAGGTAGCTTTTGCGCAGTAGACAGGGGTATACGACTGGCTTTGACCCGAATTCAACTCTGTCAAATTCCGTCCCCACTGTCGCATGGACACTGCTAATGTAGTAGTTCCAATTCTCCAAACTCCATTTTCTTTCACTGGGAGAAGTGTCGAGGAGAATCTGGTGCACGTTGCGTCCTTTTCCAGTCGTTCCTTTGCAAACTCAGGGTAGGCAGGATTGCTTGTGCGCGCTTGCAGACATGCTCCAAAGGCTTTGAGCCTAAGCAGGGCCTCAAACCTGTTTCTAATCTACACTCCCTGTGAGTTGAAGAACTCTCTTGATGCCACACTCCTAGATACTCCAGCCTTTAAGTTCTCTGCTTATGTTTTACGAGGGGGAGCGCCCTCTAGAGGTACCCCGGTATTACAGATTCAGAGAAATGGGCCTCTTCAGCTTCTTGTCTGCGAAAAACAATGTTAACACTTGTTCTAACAAGTGTTACTTAATTTAACAAGTAAATTAAATCATTACAGACTAATATTAACAATAAAGGTAGATTTTATTGCTCTCACCATCTTGTTTTCATTGATTTTACCCTATTCTATTTTGCTTGATAGTATCAAGTTTGAGGGTATAGGCAACTACTTTGAAGACAATAAGATTCACTATGATGCCCATTCTGGTTTGACTATTATCTTCTTTTGAAGTCCTGTAAGTCTCCAATGTTTTGGTTTTATTAATTTGTTCTGTACTGTTTTGTTCAATTTTATTATACCTGATGATATAGGCAATTCTTTTTAAGGTAGCAAGAGGCATTATGGTAACCATTGTTGATTACCTTGTATTCTGTTTTTATGTCATGTACTATATCCATCATTTTGATTTGACTGACTCTGTTTTGTTTTGTCACATTTGGTTTTATTCTCTTCAAAAAAAAGTAATAACAACTGTGGGAGTAATAAAACCCAAAATGTGTAATTGTAAAAAAGAGAGGAAAAGAAAGTGCTCTAAAGAACATAACTGTATGTATATTTAAGTGTGCAAGATAGATGGCCATATTACTAAGTTTTTGTTGGCTCACTGAACTGTTTGCAGTCTCAGTGTTTGAATGTTCACTTTATATGCTTTAATTTTGTAACTTGAACAACTATTTCTGACAATATGTAATCTATTAAGTGATCTATCACTTTACGAGGGGGAGCACCCCCTTGTAAATCTATCTAGTGATTTGTGTTTATTTTTTTTTTGAAATTTTATATTACTTGTACCCTTTTTCTGTTTTGTTTTTTCTCTTTAATAATTTTTTTTAATTTTTTAAAAAGGTAGATTTATACCAAGCCTTGCATGTATCCGTTCTAGTGGATTTAATATCATTTTCTGTATAAACCCAGAGTCCTCAATTACATGACAAAGGGAGTAGAGAAAAATGAAGTAGCACTTGACATTTAGAAAAGAGAAAAAAGTTAGGAAGAAATAACCAGACAAGTTATCATAGTCAGTTTCCTGACTGCCAAGACAATATTCCCAATACCACCATTTAAAAAGGAGAGATTTCAGTCCATGGTCCGGTGTCCAACAGGTAGAGCATGAAAGGAGGACAGAGAGAGAGAGAGAGAGAGAGAGAGAGAGATAGAGAGAGAGAGAGAGAAATTCCTCCAGAGTGACCCACCTCTGCAGACCAGACCTAAGCTAAGAACAAGTCAGCTATTAGCCTCATAATCCAATAACCTTCCAAAAACTCCACTTATGAGTATATAGGACTTCGGGAGACAGCTAGATAAAAGTCAAAACAATAATGTTGTAAGACATATAGTTTCAGTGGACATAATGTGATCTGGAAAATAAAAGGAGTTACAAGATTTTCAAACTGGGAAGTTTCCTGTGCTGATGCAACCCCGGGTGTGATAAAACAGTTTACTGGGAGATGCACAATGAACAGGCAGTTCTATTCAGGCCAGAAATCTGAAAAAAGCCAATGTTTGAGGAATCTGAAAGATCATTCATATCATTATCAAATTGCTAAGTTCAAAATACACAAGAAAAACCAAGTCCGATGCTAAGTAAAATTGCCTTTAATTGGGAGAAATGAAAGACACACCTTCAAGAGTGTTAAGCAAGTACAACAGTGAGATTTCAAATAATAGGAATTAAGAAGATAGAAACTGTTCTAATTTCTGAAAGTTCTAGTAGTTTGAAGGACTTAGTTCCCATCTTAATAACTGAGTCCTGTCCGGGTCGCTCCCGGCCGGCAGGAAAGACACACGACAAAGTCTGGCGGTGTGCAACCTTGCCTTTATTTGTCTCCGCGTGGGCCCCGCGAGGCCTCCTCTCTGCCACCAGCCCTTTCTCGCCGGTGGACTTTCTCTATCTCTCTCTGTGCTTCCTGTCTCGTGGCGGGAGAGGCATTCACTTTTATAGGGTGACAGTGGCCAATCAGTTCAAAGCGCGCGATGCGGGCTGATTGGCTAACATCAGTTGTTGCTAGGCAGACTATCTTACAGAGCGGGTTGTTTAAGTCGCCAGCGCAATCAGGGGGCAGGAAGCAGGCGCCAACTTGACTCACTCGATGGGAGGGGCAATCTAGCTCAGGCTCCGCTCTCACCCACAGGCCCTACGTCCGCCAAGTAAGGCGACCGGTGTCGGCGGCTCCCAACATCTCCCCCTATTTTATTTACTTTGAATGAATGTATGCATCGCAGCCCGCCCTGGATCGAGTGCAGAGGCTTATGCCCTGTGTTGAGGCCCACCGTAGGCCCTTGGCTTGGACCCTGGTCGGCCGCCCCCGGGTCTGCCAAGGCCTTGAGACCCTCGTCCTTTTTCCAGGGCCAGGAGTGAACTGGACGGAACCTGGATGCACATAGGCATGCACTCATGCCCCTCCGTGTGATCCCCTCGGAGAGGCATCTAGATCTGGGCAGATTCTAGTAATCCAGCGGCTTTCGTGCGCCATGGGGTAGGGCCTGGCTTAGGTCGAGTCATGCTGGGGAGGCACGCTCTTACCCGTCATTGACTCACCTACCCTGCTGTGTGGTGTCATTAGGGAAGGAATGCGGAAGACCCGCCACACCTAGACCCAGTCGTAGGCCAGTCGAGCGAGCCATGCGTAAGCCTGGGGGTCATTGTGCCCATCACGGGCTGCTGCCAGGGCCGCATGGGCAACCAGGCGTACTTGACGCCGGGCCGCCGCAAGGCGCCCATTAATAAATGATGTAACCCATCGGAGCAAGAATGGTCCTACAAGTAAGAGCAGAAGCAAGGAGCACAGGGGACCTAACAATGGTAAAACATAGGGGAGCAAGCCATTCCAGGCTCCCCAAAAAGGGATTGTCCTGCAGTTCTTTTAGGGCTCATCTTGTTGTTGGGTCTGCGGTTGGCCCCTGGTGGAACAGGCCTGATCTTCAGTCGAGGGACTTGTCGCGTCAACCTCTCTGGGACCCACAGTGGTTTTCGTCCCGGTTCCTGCAGAAAAACACAAACCGCGCCTCGGTTCCAGCTAACCACCGGATCCGGGCCCATCCATTGTCATGCCATAGATAACCGCGCCTTTGGAGGCAGGCCTTGGCTTACTCCCCCTTTTTGTTTTTTATTTTTTATTTTTTATTTTTTATTTTTTTTTATTTTTGGTCTTTTTCGTTTTTTTTTTTTTTTTTTTTTTTTTTTTTTTTGGCGGTGCCAGGGATCGAACTCGCGATTGCCTGCTTACAAGGCAGGCGCTTATGCCGCTAAGCTAAATCCCCAGCCCCCGTTTCCTCAACCGGCGTTTTTCTCAGCCTGCTCGGCAGAGTAGCCGCCCATGAAAATACCGTCCGCCCCGCAGCGCAACGTCATAGGACGGCGGTCGCGACAGAGTGGAACGGGGCGTCACTTCCTGTGCCGGCTGAGAGAAGGGAGGGTTCCCTGTAGCGGCCTCTCGGCGGGGAGCCGCTTCTGGAGAAGAGCTCCAGGGCGGAGCGGATGGCTCTCTATCTCCTCCCCACCAGAGAGCGCTCGGGGGCCCTTTTTCCTCTCTCTGCTTTTTTCGAGCGGCGCACGCACACAATTCGCGGCGCAACTCGGCATAGGAGTCAAGGCATGCATGTATCATTTCCCACAGGGGGCGAATAGCCGGCGAAATATCCCCTTCCAATTCCGCCGAAGCGAGGTCCCCGCCTAACTTCTCCCATGACGGCAGGTTTAAATGCCCCGTGGGTAAAAACCAGGGAGCCACCCTATCTATCTCTGCTATGAATAGTTTCAGTGTTTTTTGACCTACCCTGAGGTCTCTAGCTTTTAAAAGCTTCCTAAGGGCCTTTACCAAGGGTCACGCCTCCGCGCTCGGTAAATTACCCATCCTCAACCTCTGAGGGCTGTAACTCACCGCGTGTGACTTAGAGAACCCGTCACCTACGCGTGAGCCTGAGGGGAGTCTAAAAGCCCTGTAGGTGCGCGCCACCCAGAGCCCAGGCTTATCCCCAACTCACCTGTCCGGCAGCACCACGCTGGAGCGTTGCACACCACCGCCGTGTCTCGGGGTTGATCAGTCCCCGTACGGGCCACCAAATGTCGGGGTCGCTCCCGGCCGGCAGGAAAGACACACGACAAAGTCTGGCGGTGTGCAACCTTGCCTTTATTTGTCTCCGCGTGGGCCCCTCGAGGCCTCCTCTCTGCCACCAGCCCTTTCTCGCCGGTGGACTTTCTCTATCTCTCTCTGTGCTTCCTGTCTCGTGGCGGGAGAGGCATTCACTTTTATAGGGTGACAGTGGCCAATCAGTTCAAAGCGCGCGATGCGGGCTGATTGGCTAACATCAGTTGTTGCTAGGCAGACTATCTTACAGAGCGGGTTGTTTAAGTCGCCAGCGCAATCAGGGGGCAGGAAGCAGGCGCCAACTTGACTCACTCGATGGGAGGGGCAATCTAGCTCAGGCTCCGCTCTCACCCACAGGCCCTACGTCCGCCAAGTAAGGCGACCGGTGTCGGCGGCTCCCAACAGAGTCCTAAGAAGACAGCAGACAAATGGATACTGGCAACAGAAAGAAAAGGTTGGTTAGATAAGAAGGTGCAGAGAAGAGGTGTGAAGAAGATAGTGTAGTCATTGGTCCCAAGACTAAGGAAATGTATAGATAACATCTGATTTTAGAGTGAAACCAATTCAGATAATCTGGCATTCACTGCCTCTTCGCTGTTTCTTAAACAAGAGATTTGACCTTTTTTAAGGTTCAGTTTTTCTCATTTGAGAAATACGGATCCTCCCTCTGGGGTGCTGTTGGTACCACATAAAAATTATAGCTATTGACAGCGTACCATGTGATGCTTCATCACCTGTATATATTAGATGAAGTTTTAATTGGTTAAAAACATATCTACCTACTCAAATGTTTATCATTTCTTTATGATGAAAACATTAAGCTCTTTCTTCTAGCTTTCTGCAGTATAGAGTATGTTATCATCTGGTCACTTTCCTGTGCAAGTAGTATGCCAGAACTTGTGCCACCAGTTATAACTTGGTATCCACTGATCAACCTCTCTTCATTACTCCCTTCTTCTTCCTGTCATAGCCTTTGGTAATAACCTCTATTCCCAACTTCCAGGAGATCAACTTTATAACATTCCATATATGAATGTGAGGCACGGTGGTACATTCCTTAATCCCAGCACTCGGGAGGTTGAGGTAGGAGGATCCCACAGATTTGAGGTGAGTCTGGGCTATATAGTGAGTTCAAAACTGGCCTGAATTACAGACAGAGACCCTGTCTCAAGACACAAAAACAAACAAATAGAAACCCAACTATGTGTGCGTGCGTGTGTGATGAGATCATATGGGAGTTATCTATGTCTGGCTTGTTTCACTTAACATAATGATCCCCAGTTTCATCCACAATGTCACTAATGATAGGGTTTCATTTGTTTCATGATGAATAGTATTCTACTATACATACATACCACATTTTCTGTATCAGTCATCAGTAGATGGATCGTCGTTTCTATTTTGTGACTATTGTGAATAGCTTCAATAAACATGGGAGTGTAGATACTTGTGAACACTGATTTCAGTTCCCTTGAATACACATCTAGTAGATTACTGAATTATACAGCACTTTAGTTTCATTTTTAACTTTTTAAGACCTCTACACTGTTTTCTGCAATTGCTATTCTAGATTATTCATTCTCACCAACAGTGTGCAAGCAAGGGTTCCTGATTCTACTTCCTCTCCAGTTGTTTGCTTTTTTGGTACTGGAAATCATACCCAGAGATACTGTATCACAGGGATACACCTAAGCCTATTTATTATTTATTTTTCAGACAAGATCTGAAAAAGTTGTCCAGGTTGGCCTCAAACATGTGACCTTCCTGCCTCAGCCACCAGTGTAGCTGGGATTACAGGTGTTTGCCACCACACCAGCTTGTCTTTTTGATAAAAGTCATTCTACCTAGAGTACGGTGTCATCTCACTATGGCTTTCATCTGCACTTCCCTGGTAGTTAGTTCAACATTTTTGCATACACATGCTATCCATTTGTGTCTCATTCTAAGAAACGTGTGTTTAGGTTCTTTGTTTTTTAGTCAGGAGTTTGTTTGGGGGGGGTTGTTTTTGCTATTGATTCTTTTCCATTTCTCATCTATTAGACACATCTGAATGGGAGACTCAGTAGAGACATTTATTAGTGCTTAAAGGATTCAGAACAGGAAACAAAAAGACAGAAATAAATTGGTCCAGTAAGGAAAGCAGGATGGTAGATATAGTAGCACCATGAACCTGGGAATTTTAGCAGTATTTCACATTGGACTCTTTCTGTATTCTTTCTGGATTCAAGATTGTGTATTTCAGTGTTTAAGAGAATATATTTAAGCAGGACTAAGGCAATGCAGTGACAGATCTTACTCATAATTTTAGTATTGTATAAAACTAAAGCATTCTTCCTCCCAGGCATTTGCAACACAAAACATACTCTTTCATTACACAGATTGTATATGGTATTTGGCACACTATGTGGGGAAGCCAGCATGCACCCAAACAATTAATGCTGGAAGAAAGTATTTTTCGTATAGTATCTTTTAGACTATAGGAATATGCATCTCTATCAATAACAGGAGATTGCAATGTTGAATCAGAAATTTTGGAAAATTAATTTACTTCTGTAAGTTCTAACTTTCTCATAAAACAGGGGCTTCAGTGAGCAATAAATGACCTCAAAGTTCACCTGACAAACAAAAAATACGTTTCTAGGTGTTACGACTTTTGTGTAGATGTTCCCCCAAAGCCTCGTTGCCAAAGAAGTCATGATGGAGGGGGCAGGGTTTTTGGAGTTGGTTGAATTTAGAGTGTATGACACTGGAATTACGGGTGTGTGATTAGCAAATTAGTCCACTGATTAGTTGGCACAGTTCTGGTAGGATTGAGGGTGTGAGTGCTACGCCTGCCCTGAGCAGGTGTCCTTCATACACTGTAAGGGACAGGAAGAGCTTTTTCCCCTTTGTTACTTTTGCTATCTTATAGGCTGTGCAATGAAGTGCTTTCCTCTACAATAGCCCTCTGCCAACTCACTCTGTCTTGGAGCGAGCTAATCACAAGCAAAAACTTCTACAAACTGTGAACTAAATAAACCTTCCCCCCTTTAACTTTGGATGTCAGGTATTTGGTCTCAGCAACGAGAGAAAGATAACTGAGACACTAGGGCTACATTTTGGTGTGAATTTCCTTTCTGTTGCCATCTTCAGATTCAGGGCTCTTGGTCTTCCTTTGGGGAACAGCTTTTCCTCTTCATGATGATGTGAAATCTAGCTATGCGTACCAGAAGTGATGTTAGTCAAGTCCTGGAAGTGCTGTCAGCAATAGCTGGTCAGCCCCTTTCAACATATTCTCCCTAAAGAGTCTAAGTGCCTTTTTCTCAACCCCTAATACCTGTCATCTGATGCTCCCTCTTGAACTTTCCTCATTATCTCCAAACGTAAGATGAGGGCCTTAAATCATAAATCATATATTGAATCTCTCCTGTTCAAAAGCATTATCCTCGGCATTGTGGAAAACTGAAGGCATTTGACAAACACTATGAATGTCTAAATGACAGTGACGAATTGATCAGAGCATGATATCATAGTGAACAACTAAAAAAGTCTCAAATCTAGATACAACAGAAAGGTCACTTCTCTCTCATATACTTTTATATTATTATAAATTTTCACTAAGATATTTGGTTCCCAGGGACGTTGGACCTGGCAATTTCCCAGAATCTGGAATCCTAAATGCCTACTGGGCTTTTCTGAATCTCAGTAACAGTTGAAGAAAGAGTATGGTGGATAATGTGAGAGGACTTTAGGAACCAGGCCTCAAACTGGCATATGCACAAAGTGATCAAAAAATACAGTGACTGTTTAAAAAATGTATTTTAGCTAAAGACACATTGTAGATAATTCCCTTCAATCCCCCTCGCCTCCAAATACATATCATTTTTGCTGATTTCTGAAGCTATTCTGGAAGTCCTCCTTCTTGGCTTTAAAACTGACCAAAAACTATGGTGACTGCAGTTGCTCAATGTTAACCAACAAAAGAGGCAAGCTTAGAAAAACACTAGGGTGTACCCTCATCTACCCTGCTCACCAGATATGGCACTATGCAACTTTCTGTCTGCTCTCCAAGGTCAAAGTGATCATGAAAGGCACACATTTTGAATTGATTCAAGATATTGAGCAGTCGTAATAGCACCACTAAAGACATTCATGAAAGAGTACTTTTAGAACTTCAAAACATAACAAGAATGATGTGCATTCAGTGTGAATGGGGGTATTTTGAGGGAGATTAATGACAGCAATATGTCATTTATTGTAGTAAATTATTTTTAAAAGTTAAACATTTAGGTTTATTGATTACACCTGGGTGTTTCCTTTGCCCAATGTTGTATTGGCCACAGTCTCATCTGGAACAGCTAATGGAAAATGAGCTGGGAAATGAGGTTTATCTGCATGTGCAGAAGGAAGAGGAAACAAGGCTGATAAACAGATACTGTAATAATCCCAACTACAACTAAGATGGAGATAAAGTGAGTGCCATGGAGAATCAAAGCAGGGAGTTCATGTCTTCTGAAAGGTGGTAAGGAAAGCTTCAGAAAAGTAGTTGCTTCTCAACTTGGCCCTGAACAGTCACAAAGATTTCAACTGCTGCACAAAAGGAAGATACAGATTTTATGGTTAAGATCATTAAGACAAAGCTGGTAAAGAACGCTAGGCACAGATCAAAGATGGCTATAATTTCCAAGTTTAAGAGTTTATTTCGTTTTCATCTGCAGACATTAAGAATCCAGTAAGTTTCTTTTCCAGATTTATTAATGAAGATATCACACTAGCCATCAGTATAAGAGAAATCTGAGAATAATATTGTGTCATCATTAATTGTAAACTCACAGAGCAAGATGCCCTTTATGGTGGAATAAAAATTATATATATATATATATATATGTATATATATATATATATATATATACTTAACATATATATGGATTTAATAGAAAAATATACGTAAAACGTCAAGTTTCTGTTTTAAAGACCTCTTTGTGTCTTGAGAGGCAAATGCCATACTGAGTTAATGTATATGCAAATAGACTTAGTTAATCCACAAAGTTATATAAATACAGAACATTATTTTGTTGGGTTTATGACCTTAAATGTGACAGCTTTCATGGGTCACTCATTACAGTACACAGCAGATGTGAGTCCACAATCAGGCTCATCTATGACTCTTGATGTGTTGGAGATTAGTTAACCAAACCCTTAAAGCAGCTCTGCCATTTTTCTGCATTCTGTAATGTAGTTAACATTTAAACTTGATTGATTTCCTTTTAACTTAACTTGCTCTTGTTAGAATCACTTCACTCAATGGAGTCACCTTTGGTACAAGCTATAGATTTTCAATTTAAGATTCCTGAACATTTTAGAAACATTTTTGTTGATTAAAATAAAAAGTATTCTTGTTTTCCAGTGATTTCATGCCTTACCCACTGAGCAGGATATACAAAAGCTTGAGAATCAAATGGTGAAACGAACAGTGTGCAGATCTTCCGTCACACACGGTCTGTTCAATTTACTCATGGAGATAATGTTGCGTTGACAATTCTGCACTCATCCACTTTTTCTTGTGTTTATGTTTGTTTAAATAGGCATACACTACAATCTCTGTAAGTTTATGAACAATCAGTTTGGATGGACCAGAGTCTGAATCAAATGCTTTTCAGTTTTCCTCTAGGTCAGTATTTCTAAACCACAAATCACCTGGAGAATCCTATATGCCAACACTTGGTGCCGCCTTATTGGTAAGACATGTACTTTTGAGTTTTCTACAATTTTTGACTGATTGCTTTGTTTTCCACAACTTTTTCTTCATAGGCATTTTAGATTTTGCACTGATACCAAAATTATTTTTATCACATCTGTGGTGCATTGCATTTACTAGTGTGTTTGTATCTCTGTACAATACAGCTTTGTGATGAAAGCTGATTTACCTGTCCCTGAGCCCTTGCAGTACCTAGATGTCTCCTTGCAACTTACAAATTTGGAGCAGCCGGGTCGGGGATTTAGCCCAACAGCATAAGCACCTTCCTGGCAAGTACAAGGTCCTGAGTTTGATCCTCAGTACCAAAAAAAAAAAAAAAAAAAAAAAAAAAAAAGCAACAACAAAAAAACAAAAACAAACCTAACAAAAACCACCCAAATTTGCAGCAGCCTATATATCATAGATTCAAATACTTCTCATTATTATTCCCACTTTTCCCTTCAAGTGAGATGTCATATCCGGGTAATATTTAACCAGTGGAGGCATGTGGCAAATTTCCGTAGAGGACATTTGGCAATTTCTAGACATTTTTGGTTGTTAAAACAGGCAAGGGTGCAGTGCGGGACAGAGATGCTACTGACTTCCAGTACAGGTCAATGATGTTGCTAAACATATCCTCCAATGCTCAGATTGGCCCCAACAATGAAATGTCAAAAGGACTGAGGCTGAGCAACTCAAATTTAAGCCAAATGATGGATGTTGCACAATTCTTGCATGTGGTTGCCTAAGATTTGTGTTACTTAAGTTAGAAAGTGAGAACCTCAGCAGCTTTTGGCAATGGTGTGATTAGCATCTTCAGGATTTTAACTGCATCCTGAGTGTGGAATTACTTGTGGCTGCCCCTTTTCATTACATCTGCCCCAGACAGCTTTTAAAAGCCACTTGGTCCCTATTCCAGTTGTTTTTAACAGGCCAGCATTAAGGGTCCCTCTACTGGAGCATATTTAACAATGCAAAAAAGAACTGAAACATGACTGCTAGGTTTTTTCGTTACTATATTAAACTTGTGAATGTTTTAAATGAGCTTAACTTTTAAAGACTAGCAACTATACACCTTCCTAAAAGGAAGGTATTCATATTTAAAAAGACAATTAGATATGGGAAATGGGAATAAGCAAAACACAAACAAATCCCCACACATTCCCCACTCTTGTTTCCCATACAGGCTGTAAATTTCATCAAACCTTGAATTTTGAATGAGCAATGAAAATGAACGATTATAATGGTCTCCTTTACAGTTTCCTCTGTGAGCAATGGAGAGTGTGAAGGGTGGTGCTGGACTAACTAAACACTGAATTATATGGCCCTAAAATTTCTACTAAAAATTATTCAATTTCTTCCAAATAAATGTTTAAGTCATGCCGAGGCTTCTAACAATATATTTGTTAAAATGTTGATTAGGCATTTCTGACTACTTTAAAATAGAAACTTTAAATTCTTCCTTATATCAAACTTCAATTAAAAACATACAAACCAAAATCTGAAGTTCATCTTTCCATCAACTTAAACTTTAACTTATTTCTCTAGAGCAGAATTCGATGATGAATATGAGAATTCTGGGTAAGAAATCACAAACTATTTTAAGAATTTAGATTTGAGCATTTAAATAAGGAAAACTAAAAATCCTAATCAACCAATTCTAATTTTTCATTTTAAAAACAGAAGATTTACCTTAACATTTCCTATTTCTAATTGAAGTCATCGTGACTTCACAATCATAAGTGGTATGATATCATTAAATTATGACTATAGTTAACAAAAATATGTACCCATTACCCTTCTCAAACTACTGTTAACAGAGCTCGGTGACACAGTAGAATGCTCTTCATGAATACTCTTGCTCAGCTTTTGGATTCTCTGTGACACTATATCCACTGACCTCACACTCACTCATTCCAGAGGGCCTTGTATTTCCAGATGCATGTTTATGAACAATCTGTTCTGAAAACCTTCGCTACTTCATCTACTTAAAAAAAAATTTTTTTTTTGAAACAAGTCTCACTGCTACTCAGCTTGCCCTTGAATTCAAAACCATCCCACTCTAACATCCCAAGTAGCAGAGATTACAGGTACATGTCACTACGCCTGGCTTTTTATCTATCTTTGGACTCAGTTCCAATGATTCCTCTTTTTAAGTTTTTCCAAGTGCTGCAATAATCAATTTCTCTTTCTCCTAATTTCTCAGTGTTCATACAGCACTTAGGATAACAACACAATTACGTGTTAACATGCCAATCCCCATTTCACACTTTAAACCATGTATCCTCAGCATCTATTCTTTCCTCTTAAAACCTACCTGTTAAGACTTTTGTGACAGGGAAAACTGCAATGTCTGCACATTTAGAGTATTGTACCCTTCATAACCCAAGTTTACTAGACACTGACTTGTCTAAAATAATACACTCGAGCAGACTGTTTCTAAAGTCTACCTAAAGATAAAGGGTAATAAAACTGTATAAACCTAACACAGTCAAAAACCTTTTTAAAAGACATCGAGTTTGCTTTAAGGGAGAAAAGAGAAAAACAAAATGAACTGCTCTTAAAAAGAATGACTATGTTATATGTTTATCAAACACTCCGCTTCATTTAGGCATTTGATTAAGCCATTTATTGCTTCAATGTGTCACCATGAACATTTTAAAATACACTCCACAGCAGTAAGGCCTCAGTTTTGACCACCTATAAATTGTGAACCCACATATGGACTTTTTAATGCCACCAATTGTTACATGAGTTTTATACAACAAAGATTTTTGAATGCCCTTGGTGTAAAAGTAACAAAAAATAGTAGTAGTTGGCCACTCTTTTTAATGAGGTAGTTCCCTGTTTGGCCCATTTTATATATATCTATCTATAGATACATATAAATGTTACCTATTTCTCTATATCTAAGGTATAGATATCAATACATGATAGCTATAGAAATATAGCTATGTATCTGATATTAATAGATTCTACTCATTATTAAATATTCACACAAAACTTTGGTTTACTTCTTTATACACACTTTAAAATATTCAGTGCTCAAGTTTAAAACTTGTCAAAGTGTTTTCTCACGGATTTGTTAAGAAACAGAATTGAGAAATTGGTAGAGGCTACAACAGATGGAACAGGGATGTTCCTGACTCAGACAAGGAACTTTCACTTAAAATAAGGCTGTGCATAAGGCTTTATCCTTTTACCAATTTTTATGAGTTTGGAAACATCATACTTTGTAATCAGAAGATATAAATAACAATTTGGAGCATCTGCAGGCAACATACTAATAGGCTAACTGAACAATTATATTACTTCTTAAAGATTTATCAAACCTCCATGAAAACACTAAGAATCATGAAATTATGACACCCATGACTGTATGAAATGATTATCCACATATGAGTCTAATTCATCCCTTTGGGCAGAGTTACAAAATCAGACTATGTCCAGTGAGAACTGTGGAATCCCAAAGTTGGAAGAGACTTCTGAACTTTCCTTTCTAATCCATATCCTTTAGGTAGCATTGCATAGATTTTACACTGTCTTTTGAATAAGTTCTATGAGGCTCATAAGTGGTTTTAAGTAGAAATCCGATGGACCCCGTGCTACAGTATAAAGGATGTAAGATGTAATAGCTGTCTTAAAAGTTCTAAGGATTTTTCTATTTATCAGACTTCATACTATATTGTGAAAAAATTTCCGCTATATAAAATCTATAATTTAAGTAGCACCAAAGATTAAACCTTAGGAGTGCTTTAACGATACCCTACAGCTAGCATTGCCCTGGTTTAATAAGGCCCCTAGTGAATCAAGATTTGAATTAATTGTTCTAATATGTCATAGATTTAAAAACAGTTGAATTTTAAGTTCCAATCTAAAAGTCTTTTTACTCATGTTGGCCACAATGCCTCTAACCAAAACGTACATAACCATTATTTTTGTCTCATTTTGCTGTAATTAGACTTCTTTTAGAAGCCCCTTAGACTGAAGGAAAACCCAGAAAAGTGTTTTAGAAAAATACATTGGCATTTCAAATTTACATTAAACATGTCTTCCTCTTACTCTCCTAACACAAATACTGAACATGATTACAGAAATCACAGATTACAAAACAGTCTATGTCCTGGGTCTGTCTTTTTTAGATTATGAAAACTAGAAGGTAACTGGAATTAAGAAATATTCATTATCAAATGGGTAAAGTATAAATACAAGTACTTTTTTAAAAACTTTATTTTAACACCTAATACAATTCCAATTTTAAGGAATACTTGCACAAAAAAATAAACACATTTGGTATAAAAATGTATCACTTTTAACACCCTCTCCCCGTCAGCCCCCCACCCCCACCCTCATGAACTGCACTCTATCTGGATGCAGAAACATATAAAGACTAATGGCACAAATTAGTTTTTACCTACAGGAGTTTCTGGTTATGTACCCAGGTACTCTAGAGGACACCAGCCCACTTTATCACATGAACTATTTCCTTCAGCCTGCTGAATCAAGTTTCACAAAGAAACAAAGCTTATTATAAAGGCATTTTAAAAACCATTATCTTAAATTCTTTTTAGAAGGACTTTTTTGCAACCATTTATATACAGTGTTACATAACAGCTCTGGAGTACAGTACATGCAGCAGAATATACCTGTTGAATATAAAATAGTTTTCTTAAAATCTTCATCGTTGGAATTCTTTGAAGTCTAAATTATAGAATGCCCATTACTTTGAGAAAATGGTTCAGAAGTACAAATGTCTGCATATGTTGGCCACAGAAATAATCCAAGGCTAACTGGAATAATATTCATAGCACACCAAGAGTGCATAAATAATTTACTTACATTATTAAAATACAACCCATAAAATTCAAGTTCGAGTTCAAGACCTTAAAGGATTGTCTGTGTATATCCTTTAAGTGGTTGCCTGGAAATGAGTTGTTTTTTCTCTTTTCTTCTTCTTTACAGTCCTATATAAAATGCTGAACTGGAGTTTTACTCTTCCTCGAATGAAGTGGCATCTTTATTTATGTCGACTGCCTCTTCTCTTCATTGCCGCAGTGCACTGTGGACAGTACCATTTTCCCTTTGGCGCTTCTGTCAATCCAACACATCCATAATGGAACCATTCTATTGGGCACTAAAAGGCAAAAACTAGTTTTTAGTACTTCTAAAGAACAAAAAGAATATTAAAATACAACAAAGAGACTCTATTTCGTTTAACTAAAAGCAGATTTGTGAGGTAAGAAATTTGTGCAGCTAGTAGGCGAAAATTTAGAGATCCTTTAGTCCAATTTGTAAATTTCAAGATAGGGAAACAGAGACATTGAAAATATTACATATCCTTGATAAATAACTGAGGTTCGTGTAATCTATTTTAATAACACTAATGAGCTAAAATTTACTAATTTTCATTAACTTGGATAACTAGGTGATAGCACCTCTTTCAAGGACAAAAAGAAGTAAGATGTTAACTAAGAATAATGGTGCATGCCTGTAATCTCAGCACTCTAGGAGACTGAGGCAGGAGGAACTTGTACAAGATCACACCCGCCTGCCAATTTAGTGAATTGGTGAGACCTTAGCTCAAAACAAAAAACTCTTAAAAGAGCTAGGGATGTAGCTTAGCTCAGTGCATCCCAGAATCATCCTTCTCCCCCAATACACATGCAGACAAGACTTCGTGTTCAGAGTGGACAACAGGGAATGCGAAGAGTTTGAGAACATAGGATGCTGATATTTGCAGAAATCTTACTTCATTTCTACCAACTGCCCCATAGACAGCCTATGACGACTTTCTTGGAGTAGTGGGGTAATACTGTTTTGAATAACCACCAGCAGTCCCCAGGTGCTTCTAGACAGGGCAGTAGAAGGAGGATCTGTACCCAACTGTGTGAACAAATGTTTATACCCTGTCAAGTTAGGGAAAGGTACAAATTTTAGGGCAGCAAGGCAATCCCTGTCAAACCTTAGACTGTGTTATAGAAACTCTTGTAAATTGAGGGATTTTGAAATTACTGCGTAGTATGCCATAGAATTGAGGGTTCTGTTACCCTCTGGAGTAAGAAGCATGAAAGGAAGCTGACCTCTTAAGAAGTAATGAGGAAGTCAAAATTACTAAACAAAAATATTCTCAGCACTAACAAAGCTTGTAACAATAGTCACGCCTCCTAAAGACACTGGAATTTTTTTCTTTCACATTACCTTTATTTTTTATGTCAGAGGTGGCTCTTTCTAGCTGCCAAGTACAGGAGGAAATACTATACTATCATCAAGAAAAATAATCTCAGAGTAGATCCTCAATTATTCCTTAGCATCAAGATTTCTAAAATATGTATTGTTTTAAAGTTCCATTTCTTCCATGTGATAAACGAACTGGATTCCAGGAACTAAAACACATTCTCTTTACCAGAAGAAAAACATATGTTTGTAACTTACATATAATACACTTTTGAAAGTTAGAATCTCACATACACAATAAAAGTAGCTTTAAAAAATGTGAACACAGTAAAGTGTGTTGTGAAGAATATTTTTGTGTTAGCATAACAGAATAGCAAACCTGTTTTTCTTAACACTAGAAGACACAGTACATAGCAATACTCAAGAAATAATGATTGTTTTCATTGTTAAATATAAAAATTTAATACTTACATCTTGGTTATCACATCCCACCATCTCACCATACGATACCTAATTAAAAAATAAATATTTTTATATGTAGCAAGCATCTAAATCTGAATTGTTATAATAATGATAGGAAATAAAAACTTACTGAACATATAATCAAAGTATTCAGTGTTTTTCTAAATGACTTTCTTGAAGTGTAGGAGCACGGGGATATGCACAGAAATTATCTACTCCTTCAAAGCCTAGAAGAACAGTCTCTATAAACCCCTGTGACTTCAGACTCACTTTTATGGGTCTCACTATAAAATTTTCAAGTTACTTTCTTGGATATTTACTGGCTAAAAGTTTTTACTTCTTCTTGGATCGTGCCAAGTCATTTGTACTTGGCAATAGACAGTGTATTTCATTAAACCTTTTGTACTTACTACCTACTATACATCTCTTCTCTGTTTTCTTTAAATGTTCATCACCATTAGTTTATAGCAATTCCTAAAGTCACTTCTGTTCTCTGACTTTTCAGACTGGGCTAACTATACGGCAACATTTTCCAATTATCTGCATGAATGAGAATATCTTTATGTGGTCCCTTGAACAGGAACAAGCTCCTTGGCTATCATGTGTTTGAACACTCTCGATTTTTCCCTCAAATTCTATAGACACATCCCATCACTTTTCAGCTTTCCAGTGGCACAGATGAAAACTCTAGGGTTAACTTGATTTTCTTCTTCTGTAGATAATCCACATTCAATGGTAAGATATATACAGAACTGCTTTTTCTAATTGTTGACACTAAAACAGTTGATCACGAGATAGTAGAAGAACTAACAACTATTAAAACTAAAAAATTAGACTGGCAAGTCACACCATAACATAAATTTCAGACAAATGAAAGATTTAAATGTGAAGAAACGGAAGCACATTAAGAAGTAGACAAAAATCATACAAAAACTACAGGAATATAAAACAAATTTGGAAAGAAGAATGAAAGGACAAAAAGAATTGATACTGAAGCAGGCATGGCAATATGTGCCTGTAATCCCAGCACTGTGAGAGGCTGAGTCAGGAAGATCACAAGTTTGAGCCCGGCCCAGGCAACTTAACAAGAAGTGAAGGACCTGTCTCAAAATTAAAAAACAGGCTGGAGCTGTAACAGTGCAAAAAACTAGATTCCTGGACTTAAAAGAAAAAAGGAGACATGGCTGAGTTCACAAAGAAAAAGACCGATAGTTCTAACTATGTAAGTTTAAAATTTTAAGATTAAAATAAAGCAAACTATTTATAATGTACATGACAAAAGCAGTAAGAAAAGTTAGTGAATGTTAAGAGTTAATTCATAAAACAATAAAAATGGTCAAAAAAGTTCAGTCAATTAAAATGATCTTATAATACAAAAACTATTAAATTGGCACATGGTTTTTAAGAGAATAATACTCAGTGTTGAGAGGCTGGAGGTTTAGCTCAGCGGCATAAGCGCCTGCCTTCTAAGCAGGCAGTCGTGAGTTCGATCCCTGGTACCAATAAAAAGGAAAAAGAAAAAAAAAAAAAATAGTGTTGAACTATGTAGGAAATAAGTACATCCATCAGTTTTTGGTAAAAAATTTCTACATGTATCTTGGTAGTCTGTATTACTTACAAATCTCATTTTATTTATACAAGATTATTCAAGAAAGTAGGTGTACAAAATAAATTACATTTTAAAATTATGTCATTTGTAATTTAAAACATTAAAATGAGTGAAATAATACATAGCTGGCCATAGGTTAAATGAAGAGGAATAGTACAAAATAAAATTTGAGAACAGTAACAAATGACCTGAAAGAAAAATTATGTTCAGTGTACCTGATTTAGTGAAAAATGAAAATTTCAAATAAGGCTATACAATGATTTCCAGTGTCAAATTCAGACACACACACACACACACACACACACACACACACGTTATCAGTGTAAATATGCATTATAGAACCGGTACCCTGCCCCTAAAAGAATGCATGCCAGTATCCTCCCCTAATTCTTCAACTCCAAACTCCAGTCCCCACTGGGACTATATCTGAAGACAGGGCCTGTGGGGAAGTGGTGAAAGTTAGGTGAGGCCACAGCATGGGACTCTAATCTGATAGGGCTGTATCTATGTAGGTAGGAACACCATTTGCAAATGGGAAGAAGACCCAGATCAAGGGCAGAGAGGAAGATAGAAAAGGGAAGTAAAAAGAATTAAGATGCATTATGTACATGGACTAACTTCCCATGATGAATGTAATCATTATGTACTACAAACATGTACTAATAAAAATACAAACTATTTTAGAAAAAGGGACAAGAGAGCAAATGTTCTTTCTTTCTCTGCCATATAAGTACAAGTGAGAAGTCAGCTATCTATAAGCTAGGAAAACACAGGAAACAGAACTAGCTAGCACCTAAATTTTGGACTTCCTAGTCTTTAAAGCTGTGAGATAATACACTTTTATTGTTCAAGCTACCCAGTCTGTGTTTTATTATGGCAGCAAATATGCATTCAGAGAGCATGTAGTGAAGTATTTAATTACAGGTTGTATCTAAGGGCTCAGATTACGAGTAAAATATATATATTTTTTTATTTTATGCACACTTATACCAAACAAGGCACTTAAATAAGGAGAAAAACAAAGCAAAGGTAATTTCACTGGAATTTAGAAAGTGCTTAAAAATTAAATAGTTCTCTTGTTCTAATTTATGCAGATTGCACTTTTACAGGCATATGCCAGATTTTTACCTGATTACAAATGCAATATCGAGGTTCATTCGGGTCATAAGTCCAATCAACCTGACTACTTGAATCAGATTCTGGCACTACCGTTGTTTGCTGGGAGATTTCTTGTACAACAGTTGATGATGAGGAACACGATGACAAGGAAGAAGAAGAGGAGGAAGATGATGACTGCTGGTTTGAAGACTTATTGTTATTTCTGAAAAGAAAACATTGTTTTGTTTGCTCATTATCAAGTTTGAACTGAGAGTAACTCCTAGATAACTGAGTGGTATGAAATGAAATCGAATGTATAAACTGTCGAATGCTATGTTTCAGGAATCTGATTTAAAAGCACACGTTCTGAATAAGAAAAGGTAACATTTTCAATAGTTTATTTTTATTTGGACTGTTTCACTTGCTAGAAAAAAGGTATTTAAAAAACTATTTTAAAATGTTTCAAAATTTTAAGATAATTTTTAGTCAAAGTTACTGATTACCTTAGATTTAATTTTGCAGAATATAATACTTTAAAGAAGTAATACGGTATGAGTTTTAGTTACCTTACAGGTATTTTTTGTATCTCTAAGTAAACTGAATACTTATCAAAATCTAATACACAAATAACAAAAGTGTATCATGAAAATAATTATGATTACTAACTGATGTGTGAATACTTACCACATGGAGGACAGAACAGTGTCAAAATTCACAATTAATTTATCACTAGCTCTACACTAAATTTTTAAAACATAGAATAGAAATTTAACATAGTGAGTTATATTAAATTTGAATCA